TAAAGTATTTGCTACAAACTCAGTTTGAGGAAAGCAGGAAAAACGGCTTTCAAACCGGCGGAAATATCCTGGATTTGAGCACTTAGTGAGAAACCGGTTTTTGGGGTTGAAGCTTGTTGGTGGTTTGGCGGCTGGGAAACGAGCTGATGGTGCCCTGAATGGCGTCCTAATGCCGTCCTGGTGGCGTTCTAATGGCCTTCTGAACGGTGTTTTGATGGCGTTCTGAACAGCTTTCTTAATGGCCTTCTAAATGACGATCTGATAGCGTTCTGATGGCGTTCTGATGGCATTCTTAACGGCAACCTGATGGCGTTTTGAATGGCATTCTAACGGCGTCCTGATGGCGATCTAACGGCGGTCTGGTGGCGTTCTTAATGGCGTCCTGATGGCGTTCTAACGGCGTCCTGATGGCGTTCTGATGGTGTCCCGATGGCGTTCTAAGTGGCGTTCTTAGTGGTGTCCTGAATCGCATCCTGGTGGCGTTCCAACGGCGTTCTAATGGCGTCCTGTTGGCGTTCTTAATAGCGTTCTGATGGTGCCATGATGGTGTTTTGAACGGGGTCCTGATGGTGTTCTAACGGCGTTCTGGTGGCTTTTTTAATGGCGTCCTGATGGCGTTATGAACGGCGTTTTGAATGGCGTCCTGGTGGTGTTCTGCTGGCGTTCTAACGGCGGTCTATGGCGTTCTAATGGCGTTGATGGCGCCCTGCAGGTGGAGGACCTGACGGACGCCGCCTTCGTGCAGCTGCATCAGCCGTACGAGGACCAGGAGCGCAGCCGCTGGACCTGGATGGCGCTGGCGCCGGCCAAGAGGAGGGGCAGCCGGTGAGTCAAGCCCCGCCCCTCTGAGTCAGGACAACAAGCCCCGCCCCCTCCGAATCACCCCACCAAGTCCCACCCTCTACCGAGAAGCTCCGCCCCCTCTGAGTCAGGGCCCCTCCCTATAAGCCCCGCACCCTGTGAGTCAGCCAACTAAGCCCCACCCCCTCTGAGTCCAAGCCCTGCCCCCTCTGAACCAGAGCGCCATCCGCTAAGCCCCTCCCCTCTGAGCCCTGGCCCCGCCCCCTCATAGGCTCCACCC